GGGTACTTTAAATACAAAATCAAGTCATTTGCAGAGAGGGAGAGTTTTACTTCATCTTTCCATATTTGGATGCCCTTTATGTTTGCATATTGTGTTATTGCTCTAGCTAAGCATTCTAATACTAAATTAAAGAGGAGTGGAGAGAGTGGACATCCTTTTCTCGTTTCTGAGTTAAGAGGAAATGGCTTTAGCTTTCACCATTAAGTATAATGAAAAGAAGCATAGGTCCCATGGTTTCCTTAATTTGCAATTACTAGTATATGTCTGAGACAAGCAGAAAGGGTCAGATTGATGTTAGGCGAAATGAATCCCAAGATAAGTATTCAAATGTTTTTTTCTTTCTTGCGATTGTTTCTAACATATTTTTAAGATGATTTCTTTGTTGCTTTGTATGTCCCCAGGTATAACCCCTGTTTCCACTGTATTTGATATTGGTATAATTTGTGGAGGGGAAGGGAAAAAACAAATTGTTTAAATAGGGATACAGGTGGACCCATTGCAACAATGAGATGTATAAGATGTTATGTCGAAAAACAAGCTTTACAACTTTGGCGGTGGGGGGCGAGGAGGCAGGGGAGTGGGGAGAGATGGGAAGGGTTGGTAATGGAAAACAAAGGAGGAGGCAACAATGCTTGATAAGAAATGTACTCATTACCTTGCCCTTGTAATTCATGTAATTGTAACCCCCTCTGTATGGTACTTTCACAATAAAAAATAATTAAAAAAATAAAAATAAAATAGTGGGAGATGTTTCTTAAGAAAAAGAAAATACTGGCTGTAGATTTGTCATACACAGCCATATGTATGGCGTGGAGGAAAGCTCCATGGATTCCTAGTTTTTCCAGAGCCTTCATCATAAAGGGGTGTTGGATCTTGTCAAATGCTTTTTCTGAGATAACCATGTGGTTCTTATCCTTGCTCTTGTAGATGTGATGAATTTTATTAATTGATTTGTATATATTGAACTAGATTTGCATCTCTAAAATGAATCCTGCTTGATTGTGGTATATGATTTTTTTGATGAGTTGTTGAAATCAATTGGCCAGATTTTTGTTGAGAAGTTTTGCATCAATGTTCATTAAAGAAATGGGTCTATACTTCTCTTTCTTTGCTGAGTCCCTGCCTGATTTGGGGATGAGGGTTATGATGGCTTCATAGAAAGAGTTTTCACCAATATTTCTTAAATTTAGTCTTATTCATAATATCTGTTTTAATTGGAGTAGAGCAATATTGCATTGTAGATTTTTATTTACTTTGGATTTCTCCGAAAATTACTGATAAGCATTATTTATACATGAACTTGTTACGTATTTGTGTGTCTTCTTTTGAATGACTTGCTCATTTTTTAAATCAGATTTTTTTCTGTTTATTCTTGTTTTTCTCTATCTGTTTGAATCCCTTACATATTATATATATTACCACTTTATCAGATTTGTAGCTTGAGTTTTTTCCCATTCAGCAAGTTGTTTTTTTCATTAAGTTGACTGCTGGATGAACAGAAGCTATCTAGTTCGACATGTCTATTTTGGCTTTTGTTTTCCATATTTTGATATCTTATACAGAAATTCCTTACTAATCACAGACCAGAAGCATTTTTTTCTTGTCCTAGTATTTTTGTAGTTTTAAGACTTCCATTTAAGTCTTATACCATTTTGAGTTACATGACGAGTAATAAGGGCTAGTCAGACTCTGAACATAATGATCCAGTTTTCCCAGCATCCATTATTGAAAAGGCTGGCCTTGCCCTGATATGTGTCCTAACAACTCTGTCTATTGGTTATATATGGATGACTTTGGTTTACTTATAGACTATTCCATTCTGTTGATTTCTATGTCTTTCCCCCCTCCTTTTTTGGTATGGATCATGGGGCTTGAACTCAGAGCCTGGGCACAGTCTTTGAGCAATTTTTCTCAAGTTTGGAGCTCTATGCCACTTGAGCCACAGCTCTACTTCTTTCTTTGTGTGGTTAATGGGAGAAAGGGGGTTTCATTGACTTTCCTGCCTGGACTAGCTTTGAACTGTTATCATCAGAGCTCAGTCTCTTGAATAACTGGGATCACAGATAAAAGCTACTACCAGTACCTATCTCTATGTTTGTTTTACGCCTTTTGGCATTGTATTACTTTGATCACTATAGTTTTGTAATACATGTCTTGCTTTGTACCTTTTATCCAAGATTGCTTTGGTATTTCAGGATTTTTTTTTTAGTGGTTTCATAAGCATTTTAGGATTGTTTGCTTCTGTGAAATGTATCATTGATATTTTGACAGGGATTGCATTGAATCTGTAAACAACTTCAGGTAGTATGGCAAAATGTTCTGAAAAGCTGTTAGACTAGAGTAATATCATACCACTGGCATTCATGCTCCATAAATCTCATGTGATTAATACCTGTGTTTCACAAATCGGATTGGAATGCATGTATAACACCAATTTTGAATTCATTCATTTAGTTAGCCAGCAAAATTTAATGAAGGAAAGATCCTTAATCAAAATGATAAGGGATTTTATTTTTAGTTTTGTGAGCTGCCTCACAGAGATATTGATTTAAACAATATTGAAAACAAAAAACAGGTTTCCCCTCTCCCTGCCTGTTTGATGGAATTTCTTTCTTTCTTTCTTTCTCTTTCTCTTTATTTCTTTCTTTCTCTTTCTTTCTTTCTTTCTCTCCCTCTTTCTTTCTTTCTCTCCCTCTTTCTTTCTCTCCCTCTTTCTCTTTCTTTCTTTCTTTCTTTCCCTTTCTTTTCTTCCTTCCTTCCTTCCTTCCTTCCTTCCTTCCTTCCTTCCTTCCTTCCTTCCTCTCTCTCTCTCTCTCTCTCTCTCTCTCTCTCTCTCTCTCTCTCTCTCTCTCTCTCTTTCTTGCCAGTCCTGTAGCTCAAACTCAGGTCCTGGGCACTGAGTTTTTTTTTTTTTATGCTCAAGGCTAGCACTCTATCACTTGAACCACAGCGCCACTTCTGGCTTTTCCTACTTACGTGGTACTGAGTAATCAAACCCAGGTCTTCATGCATGCTAGGTAAGCACTCTACCATTGATCCACCTTCCCAGCCCTTGATGGGCTTCTTTATGAGTGACATTAGGTGGGTCACCAGCTACTGACAACAAAAGGGAGGTTGCTCTTTTCTCCTTCCATCTATCCTCTTTCTGTTAGGTACTGGATTAAGTTTGTTAACATTTAAATATATTTCTACTAGTCGTAAGGAGGAAAACATAATGTAAAGAATATTTCACAATTTCAGTAAATGATGGTCAAAATTAGAACATCCTATTAAAGACAACAAAGATGTGTTGAGTGTGCTTAACTTCAAGGTGAAGTTATAAGAGTTTTAAAATCAATAGTATATGATTCTGGGTGAAAGTTGTTAAGGCAAGGTGGTATTTGCAAGGTCGGGGGGCGGGGGCAAGTGAAGAGCAGTAGAAGAATGAATGGGGGAAACGAGTAGAATCCAGGCGAGAATGTGCTGTATATGCCAATGAATTGAGAAAAATAAGTGGAGTATAGATGTTGAAGGGGTGACACAGCTCAAGATGCATTGTGTACATACATTGTCTCATTAAATGGCAAAAAATAAGACTAAAATTAAGAAAAATGAAGGAAGGATTTGGAGGGGAGAGATGGGTGAGAATGTTAAAAGGGTTGACATTGACCAAAGAGTACTGTATTCAAAAACTGCTCTATTGAATGGCAACTCCTTTGTACAACTACTTAAAGAAAATAAAACTATTTTAAAGAGCAAGGTGGTAACTACTAATTAGGTTTCTTGTAGGTGTTTCATTAGATAGGTGGCAGTTTTGTTCAAGGTCAATGCAATATTATTACTCAATTTCCCGAAAGACTAAGGCTTTCTATTGAACTTGAAGAAGCTCCTTTACTGAGATCTCTTGCTTTCACTTACCCAATGTAACAGGACAGGTCTACTATCTCACAGCTTGATGTTCACTGTTTCCTCCTGTCATGTTCAAAATATTTATGGTGGAAAGCTTAAAAACAAGTCAAGAAACGCAATCTACAATTCAAATGTGGAACTCACTTTAAAAGAGAAAGAATTCAATTGTGACTTGTAAATTAGCAACTAAGTTTTTCTCTGATTTGCTGTCTTGTTACCCATTATTGATGTTTACCATTCCTCTAGGTACCTTCTTATTTTTCTCTTTCATTCATAAGGACAAATTCTGGAAATGAATAGAATTTAGCAGCATTTCATAAGTTTTTGGCTTGCTTTTTAGTTTCAAGAATGGACATAGACTAATTGAAGCTCACAAGGGGAAAGAGTATACTTGCTACTTTCTTTTCTGTATTTCATAGAATAATAATGAAGGCAAAACAAATTAGTTCGTGGGAGCAGCTTTAAAAGAAAATCCTAGCATGTATTAGAGTTCTGAATGGGACACAGATAACTTGTATAGATATGCTGATTGCCAGTATTTTAAACAGGAGAAAGAGAATTGCCAAGTTGAGTTTCTTTCCGCCCTTCTCCCCCTCCCCCAAATATTCAGGGAAACTATTTGGTAGAATGAATGCTTTTTAAACATCATCAGTGGGCTGCAATTACATATTTTCTTCCCCCATGAACAAATTGAGTCACTGATTCTCACAACATAAAAGACCTACTATGAGAGATTAAGCAGATGGGAGGGGCTCAGTGGAACTGAGTGCTTGTCTTCCCCCAAGAAGGCCCTGGGTTGGGTTAGCAGTTAGAGAAATGAGTTAAAGAAGTGAATGTTTATCTCTTAAAGAAGCCTTTATTCCAGTCAGTCAGTGGTCAGCTATGACAGTTAAATAACAAGTAAACACATACATTTGCAATCTTATAATTGGTGATCAATACTTATCAACACTGTAACTATTAGAGCATGGGAAGTCCTGTTAATCCACTGAAAGGGCATTGTCAAAAGCTTAAATATGAAAATGGTCTCCTTCAAGACATTTCTTTCAGTATTCCAGGCTCTGAAAGGTTTTGAACACATTATGTCTGACATAGTAAAACACAGTAGTTACCTTTAAAATTCGGTCTGATTCTGGCATCATACCCTGAGGTCCTCCCCATTAATTTATCCAGGAAGTCAGAGGGTGACATTGGAGCACTTCGAGATCTTGCACTATTGGTTTCTTTAGTGGCAACCAAACTACAAATGAGAACAAAAGGTTAGATAGATTTCACAAAGAAGAAATCTTTCTAATTGCTACTTGTAAAAATCAAACAAAATTACTAAGCAAAAATATCCTTGACCTCATAAAGGAGAACTCTACCATGTACCAAATATTGTAAAGGAGATAGTTATGAATTTATAATCAGTATTTGTAACATTTCATGCATATTCAGTCCAATTGTCAGAGTAGCCATTATTTTGTGGTATAATTCAAAATTATTAACCACTTGAAGTTTATATTTACCCAAAATATCTGCCTTCAATGTTTTTAAAATATTTTATTGTTACTGTGGAGGTGATATACAGAAGGGTTATAGTTACGTGAGTCAGATAATGAGTACATGTCATCCCTTCCCTTGCTCTCACCCAGATTTTTCCTCTCATTACTAATCACAAGATGTATAGTTCGTTTTCTACATAGTGTCTAGTGAGTACCACTGTTGTATTTGTTCACCCTTTATTCACCTTTTCTGTGCCCCCTTACCCTCCAAAAGACAAATTAACAAACAAGACAAAAGGAAAACAAGAGCAGCAGCAACAAATGTGCCTATAAATCTACCAGTAAACACATGGAACGTTTATATATATATGTATATAATGTATACACTGAGATATGATAAATTATATAGATCTCTAGACAGTCACACATTGAGGCTGAAGGAGGACACACATAAGTGTGGATCACAAAGGCTCAATAGCTATGTAGCTATGTGCATATGCTCACATAAAATAACATTTTATGAACTGCTTTCAGTTTTTACCTAAAAATATCCTCTGTGTTTGAGGAATAAAAATATAATAGTTTAGCTATACAGTAAAACTCCTTTTGCCTTTACTGAAAGAATCTCTCTATATCTATCTATTTCTATCTATTAATCAATCAATCTATGTATCTATAAATAGGCAGATATATATCTAGATACCTGTATGAGTCTATCTAGATAGATTTTATTTAGATTGATATCTAGATATGTCTCTATCTATCTATCTATCTGTATAAAATCTAGGCTGGCCTTGAGGTCAAAATCCACCTGCTTCAGCTTCCCAAGTGTTGGAATTACAGGTCTATGCTCCCATGTCCTGAATCAACCCTTTTTCTTTTTATGCACAACTTTCTAAAAGCTAATAATGTCACTGAGCTGCTCAGCTCCTAATTTACCTAAGTTGGTCCATTTTGGTCACTACTTGGTCATAACACAAGTTATCAGATTTCTTATATTTCCTTTGCCAGATGGATCTTAATGCATCACCGTCCTCATGACTACAATACAGATACTTGTGATGATCCATAGATGTAATTTTAAAGTCCAACCTCAGTGGTAACATTCAAATGATATTCTTAAGTCTCTCTCTCTCTCTCTCTCTTCTCTCTCTCTCTCTCTCTCTCTCTCTCTCTCTCTCTCTCTCTCTCTCTCACACACACACACACACACACCCCTCTTAACTGTTGTTATGTCCAGTGTTCTATGTAGTTCTGAACACTTACTTACTCTATGACTAATTTCTTACTGTCACGTTTTCTCTAAAATCAAAGTGTTATCTTCTTTTCTCTCTATTTGTTCCAGATTAATTCATGGTCTTCTAGCTCTGATTGCTAACTACTCTGATGCAAAGGTTATAATAATGAAAGAGAGGAAACCTCCTACCTTCTCAAAGACACTGCAACTTTCCTCTGTCCTCTGCTTTGAAGTGTGTTTCCTATCCTTTATTTCTATTTTGTGCAGAAAGGCATTGTTCCAACTTCCATTACTACATACTCCATATGAACTGCCACCTCTAAACGCTACCATTTATTCCCTCTACAAAAGCTCTCTTTCAGTTATCAGATGATCAGCTTCTATGGTTTTCTACCAACTTGTTTGTCAATCATTCTCTGCCTATTTTCTGTGAAAAATAGGGGACTATTTTTCTGCTGGGTATAAATCTCTCTATTATGTATTGGATCAGGGAAATTATCCCAATCAGCCATGAAACAACAGGCAGAGGTACACTTGCTATACAATGGAACATGGAAGGCAGTGTGTCAACCAAAGCAGAAACTGGAATGACTATCATAGCCAAGGGATGCTGGCAGCCACTAGAGACTAAAAAAGGTATGGAATGGCTTATGTTTAGAAGAGCTAGTAGCTGAGGGCAAACTTCTGGCTTTAAGAGAGGCAAGAGGATACATTTCTTGAATGTATTAATTTGTTCTGGACTCCATAGGAAGTGTGTATCAGCCTTCAAGTGAATTGTGTCATTTCAGTTTTTCTACCTCAACTTCAGAATTATTTTTTCTTCTTTTATACAATTCCATTTTCCTTTGTTGATGTTTTCTAGCTCGTGAGATTTTGCTATACAACCCATTTCAAGTTCTTTGTACATGATTTCCATTAATTCTTGGAATATACTCTTTGTCTTTGCCAATGGGTTTGTTTCTTTGGGTAAATTTCTGTTGGATACTTTTGCTCCTGTGTATGGTCTATGCTTTTCCATTTCTTTACATATCTCATAACTTCTCATTGAAAATTGGATGTTTTAAATTATATAAAGGGATGACTATGAAAATCATACTCTACCCTCTGGCTAAAATGTGTGGTTTTTTGTCTTTCTTTTAAATCGACTTTTCTGAACTAAATTGTATAGCATTTACACTAATTGCTATGTGCAACTGTAGAAATATCCACTTGTTTACTTTACAGATCAGCTCATACTTGGAAAGGAACTTCTTAATAAGACTAGCAAGTTCCACAGTACTACCAGAAACTGTGCTCATGATCTATGCCTTCAACTCTGTGCCACAAGTTGACTATTTGGTTTTATCCTATATTTTCATGTGTGCAATGCTAAAAGTCCTGAAACACTGGTCATGCTCACAGTCATACAGATGCATACTTGTCATGTTCTAGATACACAAGAATCTGAGGAGATTTTCCATACCTATATGCACATCTAGTTTCATTGTTTCTCTTTTTAAGACTAAATTCATTTATTGCTTTTCCTCACTGTTATACTTGTGAAGTTACAAAAATTGTCAATTTTTTTGATAAATGTCTCCAGGAAAAATTCTTTGTGCAGTGAATGAACTCCAATTTAGGTCACACATGAAAACAGCCCTGCAAGTGAGTTTCTCCAGAGAACAAGACATGAAAAATGATGACGATTTTTCAAGAATGAGGCTTTAAAAGAGTTCAAATGTCACCCAACCACTTCTGGTGACTTCTAGGTTGTTGTTTTCTCTTGTGATTGAGAGCCTTTCATGGAGTACAATAAGGAAAAAGAGAAAAATAATAAGGATGCAGAAAGTTACAGTGCCACAAAAGTCATACTTCTAATCCCTTTTCTTCCACCTAGACTTCTCATCATATCTGTTTTTGCTCTAAGGAGTTCTGCTTTTCACCTGCAGCTCCTTTCCTCTCTGAATAATGTTACTTATTGCCATAGTATCAGCTAACACTCATGATACTATTGTGTAAGACTTCAAAAACACTCTTTCATAAATAATGACAAGATTTGATTTTAAATGGAAGGGTAAGAATAATGGACACTGGTTTTTAAGTTTTTATTTTCCTCAGTAACCAATAGTCAAAAATTATAGTTGATTACATATCAGTGGATATTCTGATTGCTAATCTGCTAATAGTAATAAATCAAAAGTGCTCAACAATCTCTTCATCCAAATACTTCCCTATGCATCTCTTATTCATATCAGTATAGGAGATGTTGTTAATTCAAAATATAGCTACAAGTTTTTCCAAGTAACATTTAGCATAAAAGAGAAAGAAAATGATGAGACAGCTACAGAATTAAGATTTTCATTGCCTTCTATATTTTCACAAAATAAAAGCCATAAGTGAATGCATTTCTTTAAGGAGATAGTGCTAAATTTTAATAATAATCCCTTGCATTCATATAATTCTTATGTTCCAAAAGTCTGTTTTCCTAATGATAATTATTGATTTACTTCTAAGATAATTGTTTTCAAATATTACAGTCTAACATTAATCTTACAATGGAATATGAAAACCAAATTACCCATCATTTAATCTCATACTAAGCAATCATTTATCCTTTGCAATGAACTACCATAATAGTTTAATATTTAAATTAATACCAGAAACAAATTACTGAAAAGTTTCTAGTCATCGCTATAAAAATATTAGCTGTGTATAAACATGCTCTTTAATTTTTGCTCCAAACCTTAGCATCAATAGGGGCTAGAATGCTAAGACATACAATGCTTTCTTTTCTGTAGTGTATAGTCAGGTTGCATAAATGCACTTGGAATTCCAAACACCTGTGGAAAGTAAATTGGCTTCAAGAATCAAGAAATGCAAAAAAACCACATTGTTAGTGTGATGTTTCCAGTAGTGGATATTTCTATATTGACCCTTGGAAATCCTTAAGATATAGAAAGTAACAATTTCATGTGTTCTATTTACTATTTTCTGTGCATGTCAGATGTAAATGAAACAAGGTAATTCACTATTACCATGTTTATTAGTGACCTGACATCACAATACACAAACACATTATCCTTGTATCACCTTGTATTACCACACCTTGTTACCAAACACTGTATACTTTCAACATCTCATAAATTTCTTTTGAATATATAAATGAGAAAAAGTAAGAATATTGTTTAAATATGATAAATAATTCTTGATTTATTCAAAGATTAGTAATTAGTTGCTATGAATAGATGAATTATATTTTATTTCTTTTGATCAGTTTCTAACATCTTTCTTGCTTTGTGTATTTTAGTTGTACAAAATAATAGGTTTCATTATGACATTGTCATGCATGTACATAAAGCACTTCCATTGTAATTCCTCCCCAGTACAATAAGTGGGCTACTGCAATATTTGTGTTTCTTGAAATTGGATCTGATATCAGCTCTGTTAACATTCCACTTGAAAGATGCTCATGTCACCAAAATTATGTGCTTCGCATATATTATGTAAAGATGACGACATTGATTTGCCAGGGATGGAATA